AAGTCTCCAGAACATGACAAACTCAAATAACTCATAGCTTTGACACTGGGCTTTCTGGAAGGCTATATAAAACCATTGCAAACACCATTTTTTTGTCTCTAATATAAGGAATATACTGGCTAGAATACCTCAGTGTTAAGATAAAACCATGTCTGCTCTTGGGCAGGTTGATGGTTTGGCAGGAGTCAAAAGTTAAGGTAGCAGCAGAACTCTAAGGACTGAGGAGAAAAAATACACCTACAAATACATCTGCTTTGATTTGCTAATGATAGCTCTCAGCCAGACTACAGTATTTGAATGCCTGGTAGCCACTGAAAAGTGACAGGAGTTATAAAGCAAATCACAAAGACGCAGCTATTTGGAGTGACAATAATTACATAACTGAAAATTATTTACTTTTATGCATTTAAATGGAAACAACTTAAATAGGCCTCAGATTTGGCACTATCTTCAGAAACACAGCCCAGAGCAATAAAAGGCAAAATGTAAAAAAAACAATGCATAAGGCAGGAAAACCAGAGAAGGGAGAGAGAAAACTTATAAAAACCCATCTTTATTTACACTTGATAAACTATGCCTAAATATCTACTCATCATGACAGTATTTGTAAAATGCTCTGCAAATCCAGCATGCAAGTTTTATAACACATGATCGAGTTGATTAGTTTTATATATTGTGATTGTGTTGATTAAATGAGAATTTTTTTATATCTTTCAAAAAAATAAAGTTATAATAATGCTTTACACAGCATTAAATACTACATCAATATATTTTAGCTAATCTTAATCTTCATATAAATGATTAAACAATTTTTTTGTATGAAAGACATTGTTGGTTGCTCCCACTCTAACCTTCTGCTTTCTGCCCTGAGATTCCAGGGACCCAAATTTGTGATCTCGTTATGTATTATAAGGGAGTGTGGTGGGGAAGAAAAGGGAAAATGCTGTTTGATGGGAGTAGATTTATCTCTATTGTTTGGAACAAACTGAATATTAATGTCTTTTTAATAGTAGGTTAATTAAGAGGTAATAATTTCTAATTTAATATCAGCACATGACCTTTTTGCAAATTATGTAAACATCAAACTTGTGGAGCAGAATACAACAAAAAGAAATCAGGAACTAATTTAGGAAATGCTTGTAAATCCAGTTCTTTTATTTATTGTGCTGCCCATGGAGTCCACTTTAAAGTACAAACTTGTGTGCTTAATGTCCATTAATTCACTGACATAAAAATAATGGGAGACTAATTAAAAAAAAAAATTCAGTACATTCTGTGCCAAATTTGGAAGTCAGCGGGATTTTTTTTATGAGTACCTGAGAGCAAACTATGTACATCATAAATCAAATTCAAGGACTGACAGGATGCAGTATTCTGCAGAGGAGTCATGTAGGTTCCCCACCACACAAATACTATTGGACAGCATGTGATTTAAAATCAAGATTTAAATCATTCTTCATGAGTACCTTTCAGAAAAGATGGAATTGATAGATATTACCATAACCTTGACAGTCAGCTATTCTGAAAAGGAATGATTTGTGTCAGAGCTGAAATTTAAGGAGTTCTTTTTTTGATTTCATTGGCTGCCACAGGGCCGAAGCTTCTCCCATCTATGAAAAGCTTCAGGACTCCAAAAGCTGAATGCAGATATACCAACCAATAAATAATCCAAGGTGAAACACCATGTATACCAATGGCTAGCAAAGTTTTATGATCATTCTGACAATTATTGTGGATTTATACTGAGGCAAATTGCTATGGAAAATGTTGTCCCTTTGTTAAAAGGAAAACAGAAAAGTGGGGAGATTTTTTTTCTCCCCCCCGATTTCAAAGCACCCATTTCCTAATATAATATAGTAGACTTATGGTCACTGGTTTAAATTAGTGTAGTAGACAAAAATTTTGTGCTGTCTTATGTCAATGAGATCATTGTAATTAATCTGATCTGCTGTTTGTTATATTGCTGCATATTTTGTCCTTTTACCCTTGCAACTCAACCTCAAGTGAACAACAGCTATTGCTCTTAAAACTTTGATATCTAAAAATTTCTTAGAAACTTTTGGTGGATATAAACTATAACTCCTTAATTTTTACCTTTTTTGCATATATGAAGACAAGCCTAGATACTGTCTTTTAAAAAATCCTAAACTGTACTGGCAATAATACCTGCATAAAGCATATTTTAGTATACATATATGCATTATTCAGGTAACTATTACCAAGCATTTTCTAACAAATTTGAGGCAAACTATTTAGCAAACCAGCTTTTTTTTTTTTTTGGCCAGCCACCTTCAAAAAAGAATCAGATTATCTAATTTTAGGTGTCAATTTAACTGTGCTTTGCTGCTCTATCAAATAGTTGTACCCAGAATAATTCTGTAAGGAATGGCACAGCAGAATTGTTCAGGATACATATAATATGCCTGCCCACACATCTGTGTTTGCAAATTGGCTTGTCAGCACTCTTCAATCCCAAATCAGACCCAGTTATACCTATTACAAAACCCATAACATTTGTTTCACAGTTCCTGATATAGTGCTGTGTTGTAGCTGTCTATCCAAAGACAATTTTCAGTATATTTATAGTAATTTCATCAGTGAAGTATTACTAGCAACCCTACAGACAGGAGTCATGAGGCAAAATACATAATGTTCCTCATCCCATCTTATCCATCAGCTTACATTAATTTTCTTTGTATCTCAGAACGTTATCACTGTAAATTTAGTTCCAAGAAAATAGTCGTTCTTAGAGTATCTCCCTTAAAAAATGTAAAGTATTTATGTATAAAGTTGCTGAGGTAACAAGGAAAAACAGAAGAGCTTTTCATCCCTCAATGTTATATTGATTTTGTCTATGAGAGAGAGCAATCAGATACCTCTTCATCTATGTTAAAGTTTCAAAAGTATGACAAAATGGCTTAAAATAGGAAATATTGAAATATGTGTTACCCTTAATACCCTGTCAAACAGCTATTCAATTTTCTGACAAAAACATGCCTAGCAACAGCCAATTTTGAGACGGTTTTAAGAACAGAAACTCGAAGGCTGTGGAAGACTTTTGTATCAATCCAATCACAGCACACAGTTTCTGTAAAGGATAGCAGAACTTATTAGAAAAAGCTTATTAAGAGAACTTAATAAAAAAAAGTTGCTTCACCTGGAGAGGTGGATGTTGTACAGTTGCAGAAGAGCTATTGGGATGTGGGAGACCCTCTCAGGAGGGTTGCAGCAAAGCAGCTATTGGATGCTGAACTGTTTGTGGGTTTTTGATGAATGTTTGTCCAAATGCCAATGATGTCTGAGGATATTTTGGGTTAGACATGTTATTCTTGCTTGGGGAAATCAGCCAGCAGTGCATTCCTGTCCTGTCTGTTCTGTCTCATGTCACAAGGGAATAGATAGACCATTCCTTATGTAAAAATGAGTGAATAATATTATTAATTATAAATTTTAGGATAATGTGACCTATTAATTAGGGGAGTGAAAGGGAGGATGCAGTACAGCAATGGCATCTAGTACAGTGTAATGTATCATGGGATGAGGGTTGATGATACGAGAGAATCAATGTCATATTTCCTTGAAAAATTGAGAGATTCTCATATTAAATAAATATGAGATGCCATAAAGAAATTAGACAAGACAATAAATTTACCAGGATACAATCTGACTGTGTCAGAAAGACACAGGGAAGAGAACTAGAATGCTTTTAAGATGTCTGAGTTTGACATAAATGTGATTTACATCAGAAAAAATGGAGCTAGCTTCTTTCAAGCAGAAATGATCCTTCTGATCCTATGAATTATGATCATCTAGGCAGGGACATAAGGGAAACAGAGTATGTTTATCAACAAGCGAGTTCTTGATGACTGATCACAACAAACAAGACTTCAAACAGGTAAATATATCACCACACTACAACACGTCTGGGGATCTCTCAAAAAAGTCTGGGGTAAAGGCAAGCAAGAAAACCAAATGTGAGCAAACAATTGCTGGATAAGAAATATAATTTGATCTCAAAGGGGTTTACTCATATAACTAATTTTGATTTTCAATTAATTTTTTTTGGATTTCCTCTGTGTTTAGATCTCAAAGTGAAATTACATTTTGAATTATTGTTGGTGAGCAAAGATCTGCAAACTAAAGTTGCTGTGATTCACAACACAGAGGTGCTGTAAAAGGAGCCAGGAAGACAAAAACAAGGAAGATTAGAGTTCTGCTTCAACCTTCTGTTCAGTGTTCAGAACAGCATGATGTCACCTGCCTTGTGAATAGTGGAGACTCGTTCACCACTTTGACAGCAGTGTTAGATAAAATACTCTGGATAGGAACCCCTAGGAACTGACAAATTGAAAAGCTGATGAAAGACATTCATATATTTTATATGGCCTTTGGTAACCTTAAGGACAGGAAATCAATTATTCTTGTTATTATTTGATACGTGACTGTCCATAATAAGTGAGTATAGAACATTTGGAAGGCTGTAGTTCCAAAAACTTGGAGACTGGCTGAAATTCAATAACAAAGGATTGATTGACTTCTGGGATATCATCTGCTGGAATGATTACATTTCTTCCTTCCCCCAAAAAAGTGTGTCTAGGAACTTTTCAGCCTTTAGTTTAAAATCATGACTTAATTATTTGAATCCTGTTAAAGATGAAAATTCCTGTCTCTCAGGTATCTACAAGCAAAAATAATTGAGATGACATTCTGGATATCTAAGGATTTTCCCACATCCCCTTGCACTTTCTGGCTCACAAGGCCAAAGTAAGTCAAATTGCAATATTCTAACCCCAAGGGAGAATGAGAATTAATTATGTCAGTTAGTCAACTTCTTAGGAGGAGTTGTTTGATATTTTAAGGGAAGGTGGCTTCCTGCTTGCACAAAGAACGAAAGCAGAAGCAATCCTTCATCTCAAAAGAGCAGATGAGACAACGGTCACATGTTTTCAGCTCGTGAGGTTAACCAACAATTACAGTAATTGCCTTTAATATATTCTTACCTCAAAACATCTGAGCCTTGATTACTACTGGCCTTTCCTCAAACACAAATGGAGGCTTTTCAGCTGTACATCCTGTATGGAACCAAATCACACTGACAGGTTCTGTGAGCACTCTCTATTCCTTGCTTGCTTTCTCAGCAGATCGATAGCAGCAGAAAGAAATGGTGAGGTTGGAGTTCATGCATTTCCTTCCCCCTCTAGGAGCTGGCAAAGCAGGAGGGGTATGCCAGGGTGTACATGTCCAGCTTACTGAACAGCTCAGAGAGAGTTTCACAGCAATGCAGAGTATGGCCTGTGGCAAGTGACTGTACCCCAGGTTTCTCTGTGATAGCTTTTGCCCCCGAGGGCGCTATGCTGTGTAAGGAGTGAAACTTAATATCCTTCACTCCTTATTCCTAAATGGATATATTTGGAAGTAATAACAAGGCACATTGTGGTGATAAAACTCCTTTTACTTAGCTCACCTGTTTAAAAGAGAAGAAGAGGTAATTTATTTCTCCTCTGCTTGTACATGACCTAATAACCTGTGAAGTTTGTGTGTGTTTTTAACATTATGTAGAATAGATGTTTCAGTCTTAACAGGTTTTAGATTTTAATCTCTAGAGGGAATACAGATTTTCTTGGTTTAGCCAAAGCAGCAGTCAGTACAGCAGAAGATTCCTCTGTGTGGTTAGGCCACAGTCCTGTGTGCCCCAATACAGACCCTGCTAAAACAGTGGAGATCCGCAGCAACATTTAGGGATTTGTGTGATAAGACACCACTGCAAGAGGGAGGCTACACACTGCAGAGTTTGCCTTCAGGGAATCTAAATTTTCAGGGAACCTCATTAGAATTTCTACATCATTTGTAATAAATCTTTTTGAAGAAAGAGCAGGATATGCAGCAAAAGCAAGGTCCTTTGGCTTAAATGAGAACAGAATCGATTTCCTGAAACATAGTCCATCTTCCTGAGACTTGGAACAAACATCCAGTAACTTAAAAGCTGAGAGTGTGTGTTGCTGTAAGTTTAATGGTTTAACTGCCTTTCTTTTCCATCCACAATCTTCCAGTTAATTGATGACAGAAATGAGAATCTGCAATGGCCATCCAGGTACTTTTGCAAAGATATAAGATAAACAGTTACGTACAGTGAATTGGGGCTGAGAGTCTGCTGATGAAATCAGGGATACTAAATTGTGCCATTCTGTTGTGCATCCTATACAGCAATAGCATTCTGTTTAATCCATTTTTAAAACAGCCCACCTCAAAATAATGTTCTTTCTTCTTTTTCTTGAAATTTTTCATGTTAACAAAAAAAAAAAAAAAAAGAGAGAAAATGTAAATTCTATCCCAAATTTATCCAAGGGATGAAACAAGGTAATGATCAAACAGAACTCTTATGCAAACCAAACTAACCAACACACCATCCAAGCAAGCTAAAAATAACTAAGGCATGATTGTTAAAGAATGTATTAGAAAGTACAAATATGTAAAGGTAAACATCTTAGTTCTTTACTTTCAACATATTGTTCTTTTAATAGAAAATTGAGACAGAATTTCCGAGAGCAAACTGATCAAAACAACAGTTCTGAAACCTTAAACAACATCAATATTTCTTAATGCATAAGAGTGGATCATTTAGCTGCATTTTGGTTAACGAAGGAAAAGGTCATGGCAAATTGATATATGGAGAACTATCCACAAGCTGAGAAGTTATAGTTTGGCACTGAATTTTAGAATTATATGGAATCAGTAGAATAAATTCAGAGCTGAGCTATATGCAAAAAGCAGAATACTATTCAGGAGCTATGGGCAAGTCTGCTGCTACAAAATCCATTTGCCTCCAGCCCTGATCCAACTCCCATTTTTTTAACTTCCTGTCCCTAGTCATCCCCCTTTTATCCTTCACAAGCTTTTTACCACTCTGCATTGCAAAAAAAGTAAATTCCCACTTCTCTAGACTGTGTGGAGAGATTATCTGCCTGCATTCACTGGTAGCTGCAATTTCAAGGGCGATTCTTCATAAACCTGGAAGGTTTATGAAGTAAAGATGGGCTGCCTGAAGACTTCTCCTCTGTTCAGCCTTTGTGAGACTGTACCTTTAGCAGTGTGTCCCCTAAGGGCTGCCCAGTAAAAGAAAGACATTGAAATACTGACCCAAGTCCAATAAAGGGGCATCGGGTTGGTTAGAGGGGTGGGATGCATAAGGAGAGGCAGAGACAGCTGTTCAGCCCTAAAGAGAGAAGGCAAAGGGGAGATGTGATTGTTGTCTACAACCGCCTTGCAGGCGGTTGTAATGGAGACAGGTCCAGTGTCCTAGAGGCACACTGTGGAAGAACAAGAGAAAACAGGCACAAGTAGGAACAGGAGAAATTGTGACTTGCTAGAAAGAGTAAGAGTTTTTTATCATGAGGTTGTTCCAACAGTGGAACAGGGGCCCAGAGAAGCCTTGACGCTGTTGCTTTTTTCAGGCTGTGCTCTTTTATAAACACCCCTCAGGGAGGCCAGTTAATTGCTCTAACAACAGCAGGTTACTTTTGGCCACCACCTCTCCTGAGGGTCAGATGTTTCTTTCCTCCTGTGTCATGTGACAACACACATCCAGTCCACATGAGTTGGAATGTGCCCTATGGAAAAATTGGGGAGCAGCCTGCCGTAACCACGGGCATTCCTTCACCCTGCAGCCTGATTTGCAGGAGCACGTGCACGGGGGTGAGGAAGGGCAGCAATGGTTCCTGAACACACCCATCCCCAATCTCTCCCTGGGGCAATGTGGGCATGGACAGGAACTGTATAGTCATTGATCTCACTGGGCATTTGATACAACTGATCCCACCTGGAACACGGATGGTAGCTCAGTTTACATCTCTTCCCTATAGGATGCCAGTGCTCTACTATTAACTCCACCTTGTCCCTCAGGACAGGTTTCCTTCAGTCTCCAGGGACTCACTGCTTCTCCCACCTAAGACTTGTCACAGTTTATTCCCCTCGTGGGTGGAAGCTGATTTTTCTGATGCTGTTTATCCTTGCTGCTCTGTCTATGCAATCATAAGTATTTCTGTATCATTACAGTAATTCATTAGGATGTGGCTTCCCATAGGATGCATGCAGGCTGCAAGATGCAGGGTACAAGTACAGTTTCTTCTCAGGAATTTTTGACAACATGCAATACTATTTTAAGCAGGATAAACACGTCTTTAATAAATATTTATATTCCTTCTGTCTAGGTTTCTACATGGGCATTGTCATAGCTACAAAACTCATACATACACAAGCCTTTACTCAGCCTGGAAGCTTTTAGCAAGAAATATTCACTCTTAGTGCTATTTCACCTGATTTGACACAATCGAGGCATTTAAATATTCTTTTAATATAAATAACAACTTTTAAATTAAGTATTATTTTTATAGCTATCCTTATTTGTATAAGTGATGTCTTTTTATAAACAAATTAGATTGAACATGAGAGTGGGATAGATTTAATGTGGGATAGATTTTTATCATGAGCCATAGTAAGTTTATATATAGTAACTGGTTTTAGAGGTATTTACAGTAATCTATGATCAAAATTATTTTAAGTTCAATATTTTAAGTGAGCAGATAGTATTTTCAGAGGCTGTTATTCTGAAAAACATAGTATTTGCTGTTTTTTTAAAATAGTGTGTAGATATCAACAAATGCTGGTTATAAAGCTTCAATATTTTATAATTATATTAGATACAGTAGCTACATCAGTATTTTTAACTGCATATTTGTAAATCTATTTGGCAACTAGAGAAAAAGTTTAGCTGTCAGCCAATTATTATGGGATCATTAAATTTTCTTTCAAACAAAAACTTTAATTATCCTGAAATGTGAAGACTAACACAGATGTAGCCAGCGTACTGAGGTTCATCTTGCTTAGATACATTTATTTTTCTATAATTCCTCAAATATGCCTTTCACTACGACCTTGTTTCTTGTGAGGATTATCTGGAATCTACATAGACTGAATCTTCAATGATACAACATTAAACATTGAATAAGTGACTACAATTTGCATCCTGTATGCGAATTAGAGCTTAGCCCTTTTAAACCTTTTAGGTCTCCTAATTTTATTGGCTGTATTTCATCTCAAAGCCTATATCAAAGTATATATATATATACACACTCAGACTTTTTATGTTTTTCATATATTTCTGTATACACACACACATACACTTTATGTCTTTTATATGTATATATAGGCTTTTTTCTTCCCCTAAAATTTATTTGGTAGGTCCACCCTGTCCTATATAGAGCATTCCATGTCCACAAATGCATTTGCAGTGACCCCAGAGGTAGCAGCATCAATGCCAGAACAGTTATACTGTGCAGCACAGCTTGGAATTCTGCCAGAGATACAGTATGAATTCCAAAATCAGCTGAGCTGCAGTAGTTCCACAGTGCATGTAATCTCGTTAGGCTGGGTCTAAGCTCTTCAGACAGAGCAGTAACGAATCTGTTTTGAGAACTAGGCTGACTGGTGTTTTGACATCCCAGCACCAAGATCAATTGTACAAAGATTTTAGATGGATTTAACACCAAATGGACAGGAGATTGTAGCTGGGTAGAAGGTACTATCCCGAATCTAGACAGCAATCAGTACTTGTCACACCAGTAGTAAAATCCTGAGGCCAGTTTTTCACCTGGTATAAAATGGAGTAGTCAAACTGTGATGAAAATATCCCAAATTGATCTAACTGTAAAAAGGTATTTTTAATGCAGTAAAGGATATGTTTTTCTAATGCCTAATGTAACATGGTGTTTCAGTGCACTATATTTAGCTAACATGTCCCTTGACACTAGTAAGCCATTGGTCATATAGGTTTTTGTTTTAATAGTGTAACTATCCTCAGTTGTTCCCTCTAAATAATGGCTACATGCTGAGTGCCAAATACCCTTTCTTTTATTCAAAACACATAGGTAACAGATTTCAATGAATTATTTGTGTGCATTGTTCTTATTTAAGCACAATATCACCTAGAGGATGCCGTATTTACTCTGAGCATTCCAAAATGCTCTTGCCCTTTGAAGTTTTTCAGGATTCACTAGTCCTTATTTCGGCAGTCTGATAGAAATATACGTCCTGTATCCATTTTTTTAGAAACAGGTCCTTTTTAAGAAACAGGT